AATGAAAAAAATTGATTTCTTTAATTATTTGTTGCCTACAATGCAAGATTACATGGCTTGGAATTTTGTCAATGTTTCATTAGCATATAAGATATCCATTAAAAAAATATATATCATAAGATATTCTTTGCTACTACAGCAATTAATGTTGAGAGACAATTATCTTCTGTTGCATTCAATATTGTGAATGCTGAAAATAATAACAATTAGTTGTGATTTTTATAGAAGCTGAAAATATCAATTTTTGCATACCAGCCACTAAACTGGAAATTTTCAAAGTTTATATTTTTTTTTATCAATAAAAAAGTCTCATTCATCCTATTAACCATACATTTCTAATATACAAATATACATTTTGTATTATTCTAATACTATACATTGAGTATTAGACAAAATCAAAAAAATTGATGTTACTACAATCCTACCTCTCTTCTTATAATGTCCATGTAGTTGCCTAAAAAAACATTACATCTATATGGAAAATATGGAAATAGCCAAAAATATATTTAGATATAGTTGATGCATAAGTATTGGACATGATTCCTTAATTTTCAATGAACCAATTAGGTTACAATATTATCGTGATATGGGCCACTAAATAGTTAAATAATAAATATTTATATACATTGTACCTATCTTAAATATATAATTAGATTGTTATTAGTGGTTTATTATTTTACTTCAAATATTTTTTTATTTCATATATTTGTTTGATAATTTAGTTCATATATTTGTTTTAATTCATGTACTTATTTATTTATTAATAGAATACTAGCAATAAGATTATTTAGCAAGAAGATTAGAAGATAAGGATATAGAAAAGATAGACCACAAGAAGTAGATTCTTATCTTGGAGTCTTCTTGGTGACTGTTAGAAAAAAGAAAAAATAGAGCACAAGAAGTGATTACTCACCTTACAGTTTTCTTAGAGACTTTTGGATAGAGGAGAAGATAAACTACAAGTGGTAGTTACTCATCTTAGAGTCCTTTTAGTGTCTTTTTAGAGAAGAATAAGAATAAGGTAGATTCCATGTGGTAGAAAAAGAAAGGGACTAAAGAGAGGGTAAATGAAGCACAATCTAATATTTTTTTTATGGTTATTATATCTTTGGTTTTGATTAATAAAGAGAGTAGATTTTGAGTCTTGGAAGATAGTCTACTATGACTAATTGGAGTCTTTAATTAGAACAAGTTTTTGGAACATTGTTTAAAACAAGTTTATCCATCTATTTTCAAAGTTTGAAAACAAAAATTGATTAAGTCAAGAAAAAATCAAGTACTAAAGAAAAGGAGATTGAGCAAGATTGCAAGTCAATGGTAGAAACTTTGAGGAGTCATAACTTAATGTTTATGAAAGTAATAATTTTGAAACTTTGAATGTAATTATATTATTAAGTCATAAATTCATTCACCAAGTTTCAAGATATTATGATGATTGATTAAAGAGATATGCATAAAAGAATAATTAGGGATAGAATTGTAATGAAAAGGTAATGACCAAAAAATTAACTTAGGTGATTTGCTTGTTATAGACGATTTAATTCATCAATCACTTTGAAATTTGGAATGTAAAAAGAAGATGAGATATGTAATCTATTGAAAAAAAATTCAAATCACTCCATTGATTTTACATTGAGTTATATAGGTCAAAAGTAAGTGGTCCAAAGGAGTAGAATCTAATTAAACATACATAAACAACAAAGATCTCCATTGCAAGAAGCTTTAGGCTTTTTTTTGACCAAGGACAAACTTTTCAACAACATTAATATGCCACTTCATGTCAAGTTTAATTTCATTTTCAATAATTTTATTTTGAATCAAATTTGGATGACATTGTGAGTTAAATTTTAAAAATTATATAATTTTATTTTTAAATGATTACTATTAAATTTTAGACTTACACCAAAAAATATAATTTTTTTTATTGATTAAAATAAAAATTTGATTGTATAAAATCATGTTTATTAATTTTTTAGGTATAGCAAAAAAACTTGAAGCAATGTAATTATATAAAAAATTGACTATAGAAAATCTTTTTATTTTTTATTTTTTATATTTATATATTAAACTTCAAAGCATGTGTTTAATTTTTATAATTATTCATACATACATGCATACATATACGGATGTATATATGAATAAAATAGATTTATTTTAATCAAAATAAAGATTTTATTAAATTTGTAATAAATAATTTTTATTCTATTATAATATATTAGATTTTGGAATAAATGGCTTAGATAAAATAAAAAAATATATGGTTTTGACACAAGTTATATTCTACTTGCATATTTAGATAGATTTGAAGGTACAATATCTCTTGTTGTAATGCTTGAATTCAAAAATAATATATATATATATATATATATATATATATATTATATTGAAGAAATTAACAAATTTATAATTAATTCAATATATTTATATTTTATTTTTAAATCATTGAATTTCTTTATTTTTTATATTTTTATATTAATTTTAATGGTCTTAGTATATATTTGAGAATGAAATCTTAATTTTATTAGATTATTAGAATAAAGTTCTTTAAAAAATGATCATAGATTTTTTAAGATAAATTAATACAAAGTTAAGAATAAGAATATAAACTTTCTTTGTTATAAGTCTAACAATGCTATTTAGTATTTCTATCTTAGGATATGATATTTTACTATTTTTATAAGTTAAATTTACTATATTCTTTATTTTTAAAATTTTAATAATTAGTCTATGGTATGGAAAGTCTTGGAAAGCAATATCTTGGAAACTAAAATTGTTTGCTTAAATGTTTTTCTTAAATTTAAAAAGATTTAAATCTATATAGATACTTCTAAAAAGATCACTCTAATAAATAATATAGATTTAAAGAAATGCCTTGGGTATTTGAAAGTAATCCTTGTAGGAACAAGCACACTTAATAAGTCATATGAAAAAGCTTATATAAGTAAATCTGGTTTTTATGAAATATAAATAAAAAAAAAAAAAAAAAAAATCAAGAAAAAAAACAAGATCTTGAAATCAATTTAATGTATTGATGGAACTATTCTTAGGTAGGAAATATAATATCAAATAAAGATAAAAGTATATTTAGATGAATAATTAGAGTCTTCTAAAAAAACTTAATTATACATACACCAAATAAGTCAATGCCAGTAAAGACAACAAGATTTTTTTTTGTTTATCTAGCCTACTCCTTTGAACTGCTTGGAACTTTTTGTTGTTAACAATTTTTTCAATTCTTCAACCTTAAACTTAATTTTGGTTTTGATTCGTTTGATGTTTTTGTGGAAAAACTAAAAGATGTATGTTTGGTCATTACTTTTTGCATAAATTTTGATAAATATTTCTTGGTAAATTATAAACATTAAATATAATTTTATTAATTAAGTACACAATAGTAAATAAATTTTAATTTAAGATGATTTGATTTTTACAACTATGAAAATTGTTTCAACAAATCACTATGCCATGACATGTATGCTATATCAAATGGGATCTAACAATATGTAAGTTCAATGTCATTTGCAATTTAAGGCTCTACATATTATTAGGCTTGCTCCCATGTTTTTTAACCCTTGGTTTTCCTTTTCTACTAAATGGAAAAGAAGTAAAATGTAAAAAGTGAGCAAAGTTGTGCCTGAAACTCAATATGGGATGATGCTGCCCAGGCAAATGTACAGACACACTTGAAACCAAGTTCTGATTTTAAAAAAAAATTAAATTTTTTAAAGAGAAAAGCAAAGGAGTTGAAATAGCAAAAAATTGTGTGGCATGAGACGAAATTATGGGCAGAACAACCCTTCTTGCCCACAAGTTGATATTTGGTGTCTAGTATCTGCTAGAGTTTCAGCGATCCACAATTCTCCTCTGTGCTCCCTTCCCTTGGTGCACTGTCGGAAAATCTGCGACGGCAACGGAAAGTGAGGAAAAGTGCAGTGGTTGGGCCCAGGTCAAACTAAAAAAATCATGAAATAGATAGATTGTCACTGCGAAGGGCATTTTTGCAATTATCACTAAAGGCAGGGGTAAATTTGATATTATCAAGAATACAGGGGTTTTCTTAATAATTCGGCAAAATTTCAAGGGCATGTGTGATATTTTCCCTTTCTAATATCATTATCATTGCACAATGGTCTAGTTGCCCTTCTTCTGTAATGTTGTTGGCAGAATTTCATTCTATCAAGTCTTAAACCTCGTTAAACCTTAAACTAAAAGGATTCTAGGATAAGTTTACCAAATGTAAAGAAAGAGTGCAAAGTCTACAAGGACAAGAGTTTATAGTATATACATATACATATACATATGTATAGTATATACTATAGTATGTATAGTATATGTATATGTATATTTATAGTATATGTATATGTATATGTATATGTATAGTATATACATATGTATATGTATATGTATATGTATAAGCCTTGTTATCTATGCTATAGTTGTTGCTTATATCTTCTGTATTAAATATTGACAAATATGGTTGAATGTTACGTTTAAATATAACGATCCGTATTTACACGGAATGTTAGGACAGCTGGGTGTGAATGAATGTATTTTATTATTTCCATTGAGAAAGATATTTTATAAACCAGGTGAATTTGATTCTAGTTGCAGTCAGTTTTTTCTACGTGAATGTTACATTTCTGTGTCTAATTACAAAGAACGTTGACGTAGAGAATAGTGCGTTATTGTGCAGAATGGGGTTCAAGCTCTCCACGACTGATTGATTACGTCCATTAACGAAATTGTGTTAATATTTCCTCCACTTTCATCAGTACAAGTTACATGGCAGATGTTGTAGAACTTTCCCTCCTTTTGTTATCGATTACTGACTGACAATTGCTTGTATTATGTGAATTACAGGTTCTTTCCTGCAACATAATTGGCCTTTTTCTCCACATAAGTCGATTCAATGAAGTCCACATTAGTCTCTTATCACTAATACTGGCTTCAAACATTTCGTGCGTCACGCAATTTAGCACAAAGAAAAGAGACTCAGTCTGTTTCGATAAGAATCAGAAAAAATATTTGCTCAGCTGTTGCTCTTGTAAGATAAATATCAGCCGAGGATCAACCCGGAATAAAAGGGCTTTAATGACTATTTTAACAGACAATAGTCATATTGCAAAATTCTGCCATATGTTGAGAAAGGAGTAATGAACTTGGCGCGTGAATTCTACAAAGCTGTACCATGCATTATGTAAGCTAACGGTGTCACGAACTACTCGTAGTTGGATATTACGTATGTACAAGTAAAATATGTCATCTATCAAATGACCTCAATTTTTTAAATTTCTCAGGACTGTGTCTAATTTACATTGTGGGGTACATATGTACCTGGTCATTAGTCAATGGACTGCACTTGATTCTTCTATCGAGTGCATTAAATTACACAACCTGTGTACAAAGACGCAGGAATAATCTTGACCAACAAAAGAAGCAAAAGTGTGAAATGCTACTGGGCTCCACAGAGTCTCCTGCGGACAGTCATTACGTCTGCTTTCTTGTTGATCCTGCAGAACGATATCATTTCTACATATCAGATATGAGATATAGCTTACCTCGGTGCAGGTAACGGAGAAGCAATAGAAGAATGCAATAGATTATGACAGAAGACAAACCTGTAGAGAGTATCTCCGGTAAGAGACTTCTTAGCAGATATCCATTCAGGAGCCAGCTCAGTGAGCATCTTCAGGCGCTCTTCCACTTCAACCCGGTCCGTCATCTCAGTGTTGGAGGACACTATCTTGGCCAAAAGGTCCTTGTACGGAAACACGGACTTGTTACTCGATTGGAAAATTAGGCAGAGTTGATTAAAAAGGTTGGGAAGGCCAGCCATCATTTGCTGGCGACGTCTGACAGCAACGACGTCACTGCTCTTCTCCTCTGCGACTCTCAATTCCTCTTTTATCACCTGGGAAACATTGACTTCACAGTGTAAGTTACATACGATGTAGTAAATTGGGTCTCAGAATAAAGACAAGAGCAAGCCGTGACAATACTCATGATATACAACGAAGATGGTATTCAAGGAGTACAAATGACTGTACTTACGGAGTTCACAAGCTCGGCTGGCAGCCCCTGAATCATGTTCAAATCCGCCTGAGATACCCTGCTGCCGAGGGACAATGAATTCGTCGAAGAGGGTGTTTCAGTTGCACCTGTCTCACATGACTTGCTTAAAGACTCAGCTCCATCTCTCTTACCAACATCTTCGTCATTGGTACGAGCAAACAGAGGCCGTAGGTCCAATTTCGAGTGCTTCACGGCTGCCTTCATCCTAAACCCCGAAGCCCTCGAAAAGTTCACCGGTGTTTGCGTACCCATGGTAGGCGAGCGAGGACATGGTGAGCCAGTCGCAGAGGAATCCTTCGAGTAGGACTTGGCCTTTGGTGTGTGGAAGTTCAAGGATCTTATGGTAGAGCTTCCCTTCACAGGCGTGGCAGCAGGCGACTGAATTCCTTCGTTGATGGGTTCGTCGACGTGATAAGAAATCCCGAGCGATTTTCGCCCGCGCTCAGAATTCTGAGGCGTGCAGGGAGTGTACTGGTGCTTCGGGGTCAATGGAGCAGGAGACTTAAAGGTGTGAGCTTGGATTGATGATTTAACTGGCGTTTGAGCTCCAACTGAATCCTCTCCGATAGGCGTATACCGATCAACTCCGTCTCTCTCGGATCCTGGCGTCCTCAAGTCCCAGGAGATTGAGACGTCCTTGGAGACGGATGGCTTCACAGGTGTACTTTGAAGACTGCGAGAGGCAATCAGGGAATGACTCAATGGGGAGCCGCAATTTGAATAGTGTGATTTTAAGGAAGGGGAAAGGTGAAGCCGCTTGCTGGGACTATCGTCACACGCAGTTGTTCGTTTCGGAGTTCCGTAAGTCTGGAAGACCTTCACCGGTGTCTGAAGCTCCACTGGTTCTTCAACCTCGGACTCCTCCTGGAGACCTGCATGTCGACGCTTTATTGGTGTAAGTTGCACTGAAGAGCTGGTCATGTCGGAAAGGACAGCACAATCGTCGCTGATTCCACAACCTAGCTCCGTTTCAGGCACGCTATTTTTGACAGAAAAGAAAGGTCTGAAGGATGGCGCGAGATGGGGGGTTCCCGTTGGCTTTTCAGCCAGGTTGTGGACGTCTCTGTGAGAGGTCCTGTTGATGGGCATTGGCAGTATAGTGTCCAACGTTTCCATATGCAGTGAAGACTTCTGGGGCTCAGCCTTGTCACTCTCCATAAGAGATGAGGCACTGCTTGCGGTCATCTGGGAGAAGCCAGGTCTGACCGACTTCGTGAAACAAGTAGACCCATCGGACGACTCCCGCATCTCCACCCGGTGTGCGGCGGTATTAATTTCCATCGGAATGCAAGTTGTTGCAGCAGGCAATCCTGTATTAGCCCCCTTGGAGTTTCCATTGAAAATGCGTTCTGGCATTGGATGGGCTGGTATATCATCATCCTGTATGTGCACAAGGTTTGTGAGCATTAAATCCTGAACTGGCACCCACTAATAAATTCACAAATATCCAGAATACACCCCTATGTGGATGGTGCACATCGAAATGATCATTTACCTCTGGGAGAGTAGCAGCCAGTTTAACCAAGCGGGAATGAAATACGAGCCTTCGCTGCACAGATTCGATCTTCGGTCTCTTCGAAGTGCAGCCTCCAGAAACAGACGGCTCCTCAGCCGCTGCGGGCAAAGGCAGCAGTGAAACCTTTAACTCCCATCTCTTGATGCGTGACTCCTGATCATAAGACCTCACATACTCAAGATGAACAGCCTCGGGAAGTATATATTTAATTTGTGCCAAATGCTTCTGGAGAAAGCGTCTGTAACCAATAACAAAAACGTCCGTCAGTGTGGGCCCCATGCTCAAGATTCAGTTTCTCATCCACAACTGAATTGCAAGGGGTACCAGGACTGCTGGGTAAACTAGACGAAGTACCTCTTCGTGGTGGCCTCAACTGTGGAGCAGACTGCCTGGAAAGTGCAGAGCTGACGACGGATACCAAGAAGACTAATTGCGGCCTCCACACCATCGTAGAAAGATTCAAGAAGAGCAAATCTGAAAATCGCGTCCACACTTAGTATACTGACAGTAACCTAAGCCAAACTATAGAAATCAGTGCATGAAGCACAACAAGCGATTCTCTCCCCAGAGAGATAACAGGATTCCCTCTGCAAGATGGCGACGTTGAGTTGCAAATGCAGGTATGTGGGAGAGATGAGACAACTTACTTCTCTGGCAACTGGGCTGGAGACTGCTTTCGAGGAGAGAGATACACTTCCTCTGGTGTCTCGTTTGCTCGCTTGCGAGTACAGGGAACGCTCATGCCCGACGACTTACCAGCGTCGACATCAGCCTTCCTGCTTCTGAAGGCCAACATCCCTTTCCCGACTTTTTCAGCATCATATCGGGCTGGCATCAGCCTCGGGAGTCTTCTGTGTATGTCAGACATTATACGTCTCCTCAAGAACACCCAAAACTGCAAACCACGACCTCGTGTAACCCTGAGACCGCCTCGGTTCAAGACAACATGAGGTCAAGGAACATACACGAGCCCCTCGAGATCAATCCCTCGAAAAGTCTGCAAATCACAACTTGATCCAAAGGTAGACAACCACAAATCTACGTGACACCACGACCAGGGACCCCACAAGTGTAAAACTCAACAAGCTCAAAATGTAAGCAAAACGATATCAGATTCCTCTTTCCAGGTTCTTTGCAACTCATATCAATCTGTACAGGGCGCAATAGGCGGTAAGCAACATCAATAATCTGTTCAACAAACAACACGATCACGATCCGTCGCCAGCAGAGAGGAGGAGAGCCAGGGTGGGAGAGGAGTGAGAGCGGGAGATAGAGAACTATGGCGGGGGTGGGGGGGGGAAGAAGGCACTGGGAAGTAAGGAATGCCTCTGGTGCTACTTCAGTGGCGGGAAACGATCAAAGAATTGGCGCGAAAGATGACGTGGTGGTGACCGTAGAGAAGTTCCACCAATAAAACTATGGGAGACAAAAGGATTTGCTATCCCTGGCCTTCCCATCATGGGTTTCCCGGGAGTCGTGCTGGCTGATTGCCTCTTCTTCCCGCCGTTTATGGCCTGTAACGTTGGACTAGCCGTTTGGGCCATCTAGGATACCAATCAACGGTCCCTTTTCGGCAAGTATTCTCATCCATTACATGGATGCGTTCTGTCCAGATTAATGTTATCATTCATCTATACATGACTCGTTCAGATGCTGAATGAGGAGCGGGGGCTGAGTCCCAAATAAGGAACGGGTTACCAAACCCGCTCCCTTTTTTGTTCAAGCCCGGCCCGTCATCACCTCTTCGATGCAATTTTCGTGGTTTTTGTGCATTGAATCAACAACATAAAAGGGCCCAATTTCAATTCGTGGAGTCGACCACACAAGGAGGAAGTAGAAAAAATGAATAAAAAATAAACTTTAACTTTTAACTTCTTAAGTGAAATATATAGAACTTATTTGTACTAAGTAACAAGTATATAGTGATGCAATGTCTTGTATTTTAGTAATAGAACCACATAAGAATGAACATACATGAATAATTAACTTTGGAGATACTACAAGAATTTTTTTATAATTTTACAGAATCCACGAAAAAAATATCTGTATATTAAAATATATATATATATATATATATATATATATATATACCAAATATGGTAATGTAATAATTTAATAAATTTATCATATTTTGGTATAAACATCTAATGTTATTGTAAGAACAAAGTTATTTTGTTAAGATATAAATTTATATATATGAATTAAAAAAAATTGGTGGTAAATATTAAAATTTCTAAAATTTCTAAAGACTATTTATCAAATAATCTAAATATTTATCTAATAAGGCATATGTCCTTCTCCTTAATTTTACTCCTTCAAATACTTAACAAAAGAAATTGTTAATAATAAGCAAGTCTATCAAATTCATACATTAAAAAAGTACAAAATATAATACATAATTGTAATGATCTCTATTTTGACTTTAATTTTTTTTAAACAACTATAAATCATGCATTAATAGATGTTTCTCTATTAAAAAATATTTTGTACTTAAAAAACTTCAAACATAACTTAAACTTTTCAACTATTATTTGTTTTGTTGACATACTTGCTATATATTTTTTATATCTATCTTTTCTAAGTAGACTTCATTGTTAATGACAACTATCCAAATGCAATAATGTCTAACATTTAAAAGCTTTGTTTTAAAATGCTATACTTGAATTTATATCAAATGTATGCTAGTTTGACTATTATAATGTAATAAAGTTTAATCTTGCACAAAATCAAACTTATTAGTAAGTCTTCTCAACCATATTATTTTTTTAGTTGTGTATCAAAAAATTCTATATTTTTCTTTAGTTGTTACAATTTTTTTGTAGATTGTAAAATAAACTTCCAACTTGAAGACTTATTGAAGATTATGAAGTCATAACCTAGAATAGACCATTTTTTGTCCAAGTCTCTGACATAATTAACATTAATTATTTTTGAGACATTTCTTTTTATTTTATACTTTGTATCAAACTATTATATAAATATTTAGATTTCTTTTTAGATAACAAAAGATTCACTTCAATTCTATTCAGTATTTTTTTAATGAATATATTGTATATATGCTTACTATAGTTACAACATATAAGATATCTACTTTAATCCACAATATAGCTTACTAAACTTGCATTTAGAATATTATAATTTTTTTCTTCTATCATACTTAGTGCTAAGAAATTATATTAATATAATATAATATAATAAAAGAATATGTATTATCATTTTTTTATTTTTATTTCTTTGTAATTTTATTTTTATAATTTTTAATTTGATGTATCTTTTTTGTTAATTATCTTTAGTAAAATTGGATGTAAAGTCTTCTCAAAACTATGCAAAATTTAAAGATATCAATCTCTACATAAAATGATACTAGTTGTAACTTAATTATTTTTCTTTTCATTTTTTTATTTATAAAATAGAAGTTTTATTAAATTTCATATAAGATATCTAGTTTGGATAATTATAGTTTAATTTTCTTTATTTACTCTTTTATTTTTATTTTTATCTTTTGTTGATTTTTTAATTTTTTGATCTCATATCAGATTAATTGCTTCAATTTTTCATAATCATATCACTTAATTTGTAACTTATTAAATGAAAGTTTAGATTTTGATTTAAAATTTTTTTTGATTGTATTTACAGTTGCTATTTAATTGTTTATTATAGATGAATTCATGTTAGTCTTGTACATCCTCTTCATGAAAAAGTATTAATGGAATTGTCTGAAATATTGTTGTTTTTGTATTTGATGAATGCTAAACAACATACATCCTTAGAGGTTGCTGTTCGGAGCGTCAATCAATTGTTGTATTTATAAATGTATTGTCTTCTATCAACTATACTAGTAGGCCATTTTTTTTTTTTTTTTTTTTTTTTTTTTCTAGCTTTCTTTTGGTGCATGCTTCATTTGTACTCAATTCTCATTTTATCTCTTGTAAAATTCTATACTATTTGCAATCATTAATAATAGTTAGTTATATGTAAAAGCATTCGCAATATTACAAATCACAAGTTGTGAGGCAAATGCTTTGTAGTTGCAAATTAATTTAATTAATTTTTACTTAAAAAAATTTTAAATTTCGAAAGAAACATAATTAAAAATAAGAAGAATATCTGGTAGCATTTAAATTATATTGCTTATGAAGAAGAGATGAAAATGTGACTTAGTGTTAAGGTATCAAGGATAAGAACCCATTGAAAGCAAATAAACAAGTGAAACTTTCTCAAAGAAGTATGACAAAATAGAAATAAGGAAGTATATATATTAAAAAGAAACTCGAATGGCTATTGCCAAAAATAATCTAAAAGCTATAACTTACAATATAAAGATAAATTTTATTTTATTTATATAAAAAATTTATTTTATTTATTAATTTAATGATAGTTAAATCGATTAATTAAAATAAATTTTAATTTATTCAAAATATATTTTGATTAAGTTTATTTTTATTTTTTTATTATTAATTTTAATATTTTTTTAAAGAAATCAGACATTGAATTCTATTTACTTTTTGATTAAAGTGAATGATGGTAGACATTAATATATATATATTTAATAAAATTTAATGATAATAATTTAATTTATTTGAATTAAAAAATATATAAATTTTAAGTATATTTTTTGTAATTGATATACAACTATAGTTTAAGTATATATATTATTATATATAATTAAATATATTTTATTCTTTATATTATAGCTAATGGTATAGGAATTATACACATCTATATATCTATATATATTTTGCTTTAGTATTAATAAATATAATATATATATATATATATCTATTGTATATATATCTATTTGTTGTAGATGAGTCAATTTTTTTAATAGTTGGTAATAATCACAACCTATTATAAAGTCTATTTTTTTACCAAATGTTGATATGGATTAAAACCTATATCATAAAAAAATTCTTTGTTAATATATATTTCTAATTGATGAAATGGGGTATATTAAGTTTAAATTTAAAATTTAATTTTGTCTTTTTTAAATTTATTTATATTTAATTTTATATTCTAGTTTTTGGACATATTTTTTAAATAAATTTAAATATGGATTACTACTATATTTATTTTTGATTGTTTTTTCTAATTATAATATTAGTTTATAACTTATTCTTTGTATCTAATGCATTTTAACAAAAATCTTACAACCACAGAAAATTATTTAGCATAAAAATAAGTAATATTATATTTTTCATCAATTATGGTAAAAAATACAAGTTTAATTTTTCTTCAAGTGTATTTTTAAATCATTAAATGGTACATATGAATTACAATATAGACTAATGTATTAATACTAGAACGGTTTTAATTTATTTTTAATAAATACTTATATTATATATATTTATCAAAATATATATTTTTTTTCCCTAAACAAATTTGGTTGAAGTGGCAAAAATCGGCTTCAACTAACAACATTTGAGTCTAAGTCATAAGGTTTAGTATTTTTTAATCTACATAACATGTATTTTTTTTTAAATTTAATCATTTAATTTTTAAATTATTTTATATTTGGAAATAAATTTGATATATGGAAGAAGCTCTATAGTAGTTGCAAAACTACATTTAATGAAAATTACTTTAAAATCAATATGTTTAGTACACAAAACATATACAACTCTAGCAAAAAAAATAAAAAATAAAATAAAAAAAATAAAATCTTGTGCAGTCTTAAAAATAAAAAAGATAAAATCTCTTGCATAGATTAGGTGCATTCAAAATTTGTTTTCTTAGTTGGCAATAATTCAATGAGAACTTGTAGCGTTTTGAATCAACATACAAGCAATAAGTACAAGATTGCAATTAACAAATAAAAAATGCAAGCATTATCATCTATAGTTTCATATATATATATATATATATATATATATATATATAAACATACATATATAAATGAAAAATTCAAAAATTATTGGCACAAAACACTTACTTTGATAATAAATTTCCATTGCAACTATGATGCAAAAGCATTTTCTTCTTGATGCACAAATTTGCAGATTTTAATGTTTCTATATATATATATATATATATATATATATATATATCTATATAAAACAAACGTTGTATTTGTATGTAGTTTTATATACAATATCCAAAAATCAAACAAAATTATGTATATACAAGTTACACACATATATATATATATATATATATCAACACATTATTGAGGCAGTCACCTTAGGAAATATGCAATGTGGGTGCAGACAGACCTTGTCACCCTCTTGGACGGAAGCATAAGCTCTCAAGCTCCACCATGGAACCACCCATTTCATATGTTGGGTTGCAATTGGTACACCAGTTGCAATGCACAGCCAATGTCACCATCTCCACCAGAACCACCACAAGCACCACCAGTATATACTCCATCTTGTGTACTTGGCTTCTCACCACACTCACCCACACTGTACAACAGTTGGGTCCGGCCCATGCACCTTGTGGAGTCCTTTTGGTCTCATAGTTTGTGTGAGGTGAAATGGAGAACTTGTCACCGCAAAGATTGTTCTTTGGCAATGTGAATGGGAGAGGTCCATATTTTGTTTGTCACCCAGTTTGTCAAAAATATGGCTGTGGAAGTAGCTATTTGGGACCTGATTCCCATTTGCTACACAAGTTTTGCATGAGCTTCAGCCGTCTTCGACTGTAATCTGCCCCTTTTTAAGACTGAAGGTCCTCATTAGAACGTGACTGATGATTCCTAGCGCTTCTTGTGCTCACTATTCATATCTACCGTGGTTTGTGTGTGTCAGGTATGATGATTTATGCTGATTTATGATAATCACCCGGGTTCTACCACAATGATACTGCTTTTTGCACGGGGAAGAAATCACAATATGTTGTTGCCTGAATCACATGGGCTATTACTCATGCATTGTAGATTTGATGTAATTTGTGTGCATCCGAGCTACCTTGACAAAATCTTTGAAAGGATGTAACAAGAGATAGTGTTGGAGGTTTGCTTTCTCCTTGGTTGCAGCAGCTAGTTTTTTCATTGAACGCAAGAACATGCTTCTTCACCAAACTCATTCGAAAGAGAAGATAGAATTGCGTTTGAAGGCGTTGCCAAGGATCTACCGCAATTATTGCGTTGCCGCCACACATACGATTGTTCAGCTGCGATTCAATTCGCAAAAGCCTCGTAGCCGCATTCCACAACTTCAAGATGTGGCATTGGCCAACAATGTTCTAACAAGTCATTCACTCATAGATGATTTGATGAGGGTTTTACCAGAAAGCTTTAGGAACTGATAGAATTACCGGGGTTCACAAGCATCGACGGGAATGCGATCACGCTCTTTTGGTGTTGCGTCTTTACATTACGGAGTAGCCACGTTGCACGCACAGCCACCACAGCATGTTGAAATGAATGCTGCAGATGTAATTGCTTCATGACCACTCTGTCGAATAAGAATGTTTGAGGGGGGGTTATTTAACTTACGTACCTCAGCAACCTGGAGTGGTTTCAGAGAGAATCAGCTTTGTGTCATGTTCTGGCATCGACCAAATCTTGGCACGTTGCTGTGGAGCTTTGGTAAGCAGTTACGGTTTATTCCTTACTGTTAACCTCCGGAGATCCCTTTGTGATTTATTAATATCTGAACTAGAACATTATGTAACTATCTGAATGCAAACTACATTATCCGGAACTTCTTATTCCTACTCCACCTTCCCACTGTGTAGCTCTTCCATCTGATAGTGTGAAGATGCGTCGGTGTGGTTAGTTGTCCCGGAAATTCACAACTTTTCAAGGTTCACTCGAAAATGTAGATGGCGAAATGAGAAGCTTACACCAATGTGAGCAAAATTTAGGAAATTATCTGTAGAATTCTCATCTCGCTACCAATGTTGAAATTCTGGTAGTCTGTGAGCTTTGATGCATTGTGAAGATACGTCTTGCCATTAGCCCCCAGCCAAATGGAAGTTGCAGTGCATGACAAATTGACATTCTCTTTGAGAAGCGGTTGTCAGCCCTGATGTACCGACAACTGGAAAGCTCATCCACCTCCCAGCCCCAACGTTTCGAAATTTTTGTTCGACTGCTTTCTCATTTTCTGCACCTAAGACTGCTACGAAACCACTGAGCACTTTACAATCGCTCATCTAATCATGGGGCTTGATATTCGCTTTGATTGAAAATTATAGATTCACGATCAAATATTTGACAGATTTATTGTTCAAACGGGCAATAGGACTGAGTGATCAGGTGAAGAAAAACCAGCTGACAATAACTACAAAATCCTTCCAAAGCATTATTGTGTATACGAGTGCAAGTTTACACGTCAGGAAATCTAAGTAATATAAATGCACTTCAGACACATGACAAACATAGAAAGATTAAGTCGAGGCACCCACGGAACGCTTAATTCGGGATTAGAGCTAATGCTACCAAAGATGGGCTAGAGCGTGATACATTACTTGCTGAATCTTCAGCTTCCGACACTGACAATGCATCGCAATGTCTAGTGCATCATCTGTGAATGTTTAATCCTATTTACGGATACAGAAGCCCTTAGTCCCATCGACACAAGGACCAACGAAATAACCAGCGGGGTAAGGGCCTGCAACGCCCAGATAATTGATGAATAGCATGGGGCACATGCTTCCGAAATTGTTCACTTGGGCCTCATACTGACAAGCCTTGGCGTTGAAGGCTGCGCAACAAGCTGCAGTTGCACCCTGGCCAGCATTGGCCGGGCAAGCGGATTTCACGTCGTCATACGAGACTTTGGAGAAGTCGGTAGGACAGTACTCTGTTAAAATAACGGAAGAGTTTGTCAGCGGACTTGCTAGAAAATGATAAACCAGGAACTACACAAGTGTCGCTGCAATCCTAATGAGTATCCACTAAAATAGTTTTAAAGCTCAACCCGTGAAAGCTTTCGAGTAATATGCAGATTCAGCTGCTTCGGTCGACGCTCTCGTCAATCCAACAACCCTGCCTGCAGAAGCAAAATTGACTGTGAGTGTCTTGAAATGCCATAGTCAGGGAAGCGTAAACGAATGGCTCTGAATTCCAGGCTAATCTTCACGAGAGGAGAAGTGTACAGATTTTCCAAGTCCATATCTTTGAACGTCAATGTAAATATTGCTTTTTCAGCTTCATGTCTCTCCCACACACGTGCTTGAGCTACCGTCACGGGGCGGGGCCAATTACCGCATTCGGAGAAAGCTGGAAGACACAAAACTATCACTGCTAGAAACGCCACAAGTCCAAATCGCGCGTGTCTTTCCATCGTGCCTACTACAAGCGCTTCAGACCAATGGTAGCAGCTGCAAAAGCTTGAGATAAAACCCAATTGCACCTCCCTGCCACTCAAGTTCAAATGTCATATACAAGCCAAAGTTGTAAAGAAACTTATGCAACATGGATGGCTTAGAAATTCTAAACTGACACACATCACTGGAAACATGAGAACATCTTTGAGCAGTTCCAAGTCATACAACAAGCTCTCACCTGGTGGTCAGATCATAGAGGTAGACGGAAAGAGCTCAACGACAACCAAATCAGCTTCTACTACAACTCTGAAATTGCGTGAAATAGAGGCAATAAGTACCAGTGAACTTGAAGAAAAGGAATTTCGCGAGAGAATAGTGAAAAGAGCATGGCCAACTTCCGATTAAATGAGCTCTGAGCAGCTGACATCCAGTGCTGCAAGTTAAAGTTGGTCCCAGTCAGTGCACCCACCTCATTAGACTTGCATGAATGTAAATTTGCTGCAAGTTTTGAATTCATGGTTGTTTCACATAGTCTCCCACCAACTACCGTGGAAATAGACCGCAGTGTAATGAACGTCTTGATGGTATGGTGGAGCAGGAAGTGTGAACTGATTGTGGAAGCTTTTATAGTGGTCACTTGAGTCTCCAGGTCATTACAACTACATTGTTGATTCTCGTGGCAGAAGGGTCACATCTTCCATTACCATGCAACACAAAATTTTAATTTAATCTGTAAGTACATAGCTGAATCTAGCTTCGACTCCGCAAACATGTTCACGGCTCTTCGCCTGGAGTTCGCTATTGGGCTTACGCAATAGAGACCTTATTGGAGCTACGATTGTTCCTCCTTTCTTTCAATGATGACTGCGATTTTAAAGAGTTAATGCCTCTGCAACCACAGTTGAGAGGTGATTCCTCAGAACGGTTTTTGTAATACCGTAAATAAATTTTGGTGTATTTTCAAATCTAGATTCAAAGGTTATCGATACCTGCAATGTTTACCTACTGTGTGTCAAATGAATACCGAGCGGGTAACTTGCCTGCTCGCTGAAACGAATTCATTTACAGAAGGGTGACATGGCTCCCAAATATCTGTGGTTCAGTTAGCAAATGAATGTGGCAAACGATGGTTCCATCATTGAAAGATTCTGAGACTTGTGCCGGATGCCCAACAATATCAGTGCACTGAAAAGCCTTGCTGTGCTGGTGCTCATAAAAAGTTCTCATCAGACACTCATGAAGCTGAAGAAGACAAAATAGACCTGCAGACTTGAGCAACAAAATAATATTAATAATAAAAAAAAAAAACATCTTCAGCCAATCTGTGAAATAAAAATAGGTTGTAGGCTATCTACCAGATAGCCTACAAACTTGGGTTCCTTTTTCATAACTGCATGCCCTGTATCTTACACATGAAACACTATTAGTTACTCGAGAGAATGATGTGCGATTTACAATTGACTCCATGGTTCATGCATATCATATTAATAGACATACAGATTTTGTGGATGAGGTGAAATTCCTAGTCCAACAAAGTATCAACAACATCCACTTAGTTTGGAAAATTGGGAAAATATTATATATATACCCCTCAAATAAGCTGAAATAGAAAATGTACCCTCTTATGTGATAAATTATCACCAATATTTTTTTGTTTAGTCATCATTTGGAATCAAACCACGTATTGCATTGTCATGATGTGAACCGTTTAATAATTAAATAATAAGCATTTATGTGTATTGCACCTACCTTAAGTATATAATTAGATTGTTGTTAGTGGGGTGTTATTTTAGTTTATGTACTTATTTATTTTTTAATAGAGAACTAGCCATTAGATTGATAAGAAGAAAGATTAAAAGATAAGAATAAGGATATGGAAGATTGCATATAGTGGATTTTTATCTTAAAATCATTTTGGTGATATTTTTGAGAATGAGGATAAAGATAGGATAGAATGCATGTAGTAGATTCTCATCTTGGAGACATCTTAGTGATATTTTTGAGATGTCAAAGTGACTTAAGGGAAGGAAGAGAGAAACAAAGGAATTGGTGATTGTTGTTATATCTTTTATTTTAGTCAATAAAAAAAGAAAATTTGGATCTCAAGTTTTGGTCTATTGTGTATGATTGGAGTAATATCTTAATATAAGATTTTAAGTAGATATTTAAGATGAAATAAATCACTTGTATGTAAAGTTTGAGGATTAGATTTGTACTAAAGAAGGAGCAATAGAGCATTGAAATAAAGAGGGTCTAAAAACTAAGACAACTAAGTGACTCAATTTTGAAGGCTTAATTCTTGGCAAGTATTGTAGCTATTAAGATGAAATTTAAATGATAGCTTTTGAAATGCCTTCTCTTAGTTGTGATGAGATTTTAGATGTATGAATCTTTTAGATTGGGAGATATGTGCTTTGATACAACCAGATCTATGAAAGAGAGTCTTGAGGCACAATATTAGTTTGAGTAAAATTTACACCATAGTTTGAATATTACTAATCTAGTTATGATATTTGATATCTAAATAATTGATAAGATATACGATCATCTTCCAAAGTATTCTTAAAAGAACATGAAGGAATTGAGAGTTACATAAGGACAAAATCAACAAGATTGATATTGAGAGTAATATATAGTTTGAGTAAACTTGAACAAGGTTGAGAGATGTTAGAGGATTAAAACCATACTATGCATTGCAAATTCTTAGTAATTCTTGAATGGGATAATGCTTTCCTTGCGATAATACTTATTGTTGCAACCACCATCAACTTGTATGCAAGTCCTTATTCTTTACCACAAATCTAATAAAAAAAGAATCAAATTGCTAATTATTTGCTTTGATCTACAACAAAGGCATGAATATTAGGTGTAATCTCATCCAACAATGTTAATGCCATTTGCAATCAAATCATAAGCACGAACGCTCTGACCTTCAATATAATACTAACTATGATCACTAATAAAATCAAAATTCTTTAGAAAACAATAAATTAGGTGGAATCACATGTCCTAGGCTCATAACCATGAATCTCATAATTGTGGCCTAGAAGGTCAAGAATCTAATATGGTTGAACATAAAATTCTTGAGATTGATTTTCATTCTCACAATTTGTTACAAATTATGCATGTTGGTGGATATTGAATTATGACTAATGGATCAAGAACTGAAGCAATCATCCAAATAATCCTGATCAACAAAATGGTTAATAGAGCATAATAAGCACCTATTTTTTTCTTGACTTCTTAAAATCTAGAGAGCTCCAATCTCAACTAAAGTTCTCTTATATATTGAATCTAAATTATGTATCTTAATTTTTTTAATAAATTAAAATTCTTGAACAAAGTGGTTTTTACTAACAATACAAGGTCAATAGATTGTAAGATATATCAAGGAGGCAATGACATGAATAATAATGTGGATAGAAGCCTGCATTCCATTCCTTGGCACTGCCATGGACATACATATCTATTCTAATGAATACCTATATGATAAAATAGAAATAAGTAAAAATAGATTAAATTCATATTATCTTTTAGATAAGCTTCTTAGAAGTTTCATAGATATTACTTTGACTTTACATATGTATGTAATTAATTGATAGGCTAAAAACTTAATCAACAAGTTAGCCATGTGTAACACATTGTCGTGATATAATATGACTATATAATGAAAATATAATCAAAATTGAATTTCTAATTAAATATCTAATTATTTTGATTTAACAATAATTCAAGATATTTAAATATGGCTTTTATAAAAGCCCCTTAGTTTATTTTCTTGTCTTAATAGTTAGTAGATTGAAGATTGATTAGTAATTTTACCTTCTAGGATGTAAGGATTCTTTTACTGCCTTAGAAAGACCATAAATTAGTAAAATTAGATTAGAAGTAGTAAAACTTAGCATGATTGATACTAGAATTAAGTTGAAGATAGGAATGGATTAAAAAAACCCCTAGGATAGGTTAAATTGATACTCAAGGATTGATTGTTTGTGAGATAGGGTTGAAATCAAACTTCTAGCAATCAAAACTACTTCCTAGGACAAAATAGGATTTCATTTGAAGATCAAAGATTAGAATTTGAGAACTAGCTTAGAGCTTATTCTAAAGACATAAGGCTTGTTTTAGTAGGATTTTCTAAGACTTTGCAATTATTATTCAAAATTAGAGTTTATATTGATAACTTAGGATTTATACAATATAATTAGAGTTAGCACTCTTAGCTAGTTTGTAAAATTGGTGATACATCTATGTTCAAATTTTGATAGTACTTAATTAATTAGGTTTGCTAAGTGTTTGTGAAATTTTGTAATAATCCAATTGTGCAATTGAGAGATATCTGGATTTTGATACAAGAAGGTACCAAAAGTTGGCAGTTTGGAGTTGGGTAGGGTTTCTATGATATCTAAAGATCTACTAATTAAATCAAGGTGAAATTTGTCATAGTGTTAGAATACTTGAAGATTAATCTACATACTAATTTTAAGTTGAAGTTAATAGTTAGAGAAGAAGAAATCATTGCTAGAATATTTACATCAACTTTTAAGTAAATAGCCAAGTAACATTAGTGTGGTTTTTGGGCGTTTTCTCAAGATCTTTAAGTTAGATTGGAGTGAATTCTTTTAAAATACATAGAAGACTTATAGTGACATTCATATGCAAAATTTTGCTCAAAGTGGATGGTTAGATTAATAGCTGCAGCTCTCTAAAGCTTCTTAATTAAGATTAAGGTTGTAAAGTAAATTCAAAATTACCTAATTATGAAAGTAACAAGAAAAATGGAGTTTATATATGGTTTTTATTACTAAAAAGAGTATTTTTGAATACTTTGTATTCGATTTAAGTACTTTTGAATTAAAGTTCAAATTACATTCTTCTTACAAAGGTGATATTTATTAAGATTCTTAGATACTTGTAAAATATAATTCAACTTTCTACAGCCAGATACATGGTGCATTTCCAAACAAGATGACATGTAATATGATAATGTGTCAATAGCTTGTAAAAGAAACTATTTATTTGATGCACATATAGGTAACTTATTTTGTAAGTTAAGAAATGTGTCTAGCAAAGTCAATATGTGTTGAAGGTCCTATAGAATATCACCTTATAGCTCTTAGTTAGAGAGTATATATAGAAACAAGAGTAAAGCCTTCTTTACTCTTGTCAACGTCTTTTTAGTCCTTAGCCTTCATTCAAGATATTCTAGTCTTTTTGTCTTTGACAATAGACATTTTGGTACAATATATTACTATCTTTGAGTGATTTTTTAGTCGTTTTGATTGACATAAGAATATATTGAGATTCTCTTTATTTGAGATTGATGTTCTTAATATTTTGGCAAGAATGTTAACTGATTGTTCTTGTCTTGTTTTAGGAGTGAGTAGATTATTCT